GTGAGAAATGATCCATAGATGGTAGGGTAGGGCCGGTATCACAAAGTATATCCTCATCTATGGTCTCTTCATCAACCTCAGTGGACACTTCCAAATTGAGTTCTTCAGGACTAATTTCTACGAGGACAGGCTCTAGCTCAGTAGCAATGAGAGGCTCAGAAGAAATAGGGGTGCAAAGAGTTTCAACCATCTCACCCATAGTTATTGCAGTCTCCTCCTCGGATGTAGTTCCTTCCTCGTATGCCTCCTCTTGAACTTTGTGTTCATTGTCATAGACGATTTCTTCAAACAACTTTGTGAGATCCTCGTCAAGAGATGCTAGTTCAATCCTAATTTTTTTTAAGTCTTCCCACACAATCGAGTAAGGCTGATTTTAATTCTTCGAGCTCGTGTTGAGGATAAGGTGAAATTCCAGAGTCAACCTCGTAAGAGTACTCGTTTGTGCCGGTGTAATGATTTTCTAGCCTTTCGTGGTAATTTTCATGATAATTAAAATCATCGTGATAATTACCTTGATAGGAAAAATCATCATAGCCTTCAAAGTTTTACCCTTGATGAAAATAATTATCTTGAAATTGATAATCTTCATACCCCAAAGATAGATTTTCGTACCATTGATTGTTATCCTCATAACCTTGCTCATAGTATCCTTCATATTGATTATTTTGAAAACTTTGTTGTTCATGGTATGGATAGTGATATGGTGGTTGAGAATGAAAGTGTTCATTTGAGTAATCCATGAGGAAACTTCAAGAAAACACGTGAGAACAAAACAAAAAGAAAGTTTCCCTAACTTGAATTCGCCCATGCTAAAATTAAAATCAAGAATTCACCGTGCCATTCCCCGGCAACGGCGCCATTTGATAACCGCTTACGTGGCGTTGTAGTAAAACGGAGTCTAACCTTTCGGTTTTTCTCCGAGTATCGTGTCTCTTGAGGAATGGCGGAGGAGTTTCTTGATTTTAAGTCTAGTCACATGTTATCGCAATTTATTGGAAGCTTTCCAAAATAAAACTTTTGATTCATTTTCTAAACTACTTTTTGAAAAATAAAGTAAATTAAATTATGCAAATACTAATGATGGCTCAAAAATAAACTAAATGAAAAATATAATATTAAACTCTAAATGGATTGATCAAAGAAGTGCAATGAATTGAATTATAAAATATGGGTACATCCTTTTAGCTTGGACCTAATAATTAGGAGTATTTATAACTAAAGATTTGACTAGTAATATCTTTTCTCATTGACAATATTTAAGTTACTTTCACTAATTTATCCTATTTCTAGGCTTCATTAATGCGTTTAAAATGGTTGGCCTAAATTATATTCTAATCTCATAGACAAGATAGATATAACTTTCCACATTTTAGCTAACAAAATGGTCAACTTCATTAATTAATTAAAGGGAAAATGGAAACTAATAATCCAACCTTTTAGCGGTCTTCTTACAATAGTCCCACCTTTTCGTTATTTAGGAATAATCCAAGCTTTGCGCCTCCATCTTCATTCGTTGGTCCCTCATCGATTGATGACCTGCTATTCCAAGTTATTTTCTTATCTTTACAAAACATTATGTGACCATAAGGTGAGATTTATGGTATAATATATTACAAAGAATAGCTGGTCATCAATCGATCAGGGACCAACGAATGAAGATGGGGGCGCAAAGGTTGGATTATTCCTGAATAACGAAAAGGTGGGACTATTGTAAGAAGACCGCTAAAAGGTTGGATTATTAGTTTCCATTTTCCCTTAATTAAATTTCTCATATTAAACAATTGAATTTATTCCTCATAGACATAGATTAAATTCTATCCATTAATTTATCCTATCTATAGGCTTCATTAATGTGCTCAATATGTTTGGCTGAAACTATTTATAATCTCATAGACAAGTTATAAATAATCTTCCAAAGTTTAATTAATGAAATGACCAAATCTATTAAGTAATCAAATTAATCATTTTAAACAACTAGTCCATAAAATTAGTTAAACTCCTAATTTTTGGTTAAACAAAGTCAACCCATATTCTTTAATTATTCAACTCATGTTCAAGAGTAAATTAACTACAACAACTCATCACTAGTTTTAATACTTTACATATAAAATAAGACATGATCATAAATCATAACAACAAAATAAAATATTAAAGTGAATACTCCCAACATCTAAACTTTTGTTTCTGTCACAAATAAACGTCATTTATACTAAATATTGAGTTTATCTAAGTAGGAGATTAATATAACAACAAGAATTATTTTTCTTGAATAAATATGGAAAATATGAAATATTTAAAATTAATGCAGAGAATTTTTCACCAACATTTGGAAAATAAAAACAACATATTCAGAATCTACACGACGAGAATATGAATTTTCATATAAAGAACTTACAAATTGGAGCTAAAATGAGAAAGATATGAAAGATTGAAGTTGAAGGTCCAACAATGGTGGAAATCCGAACTTTGAAGAGGAAGAAGACACCCTTTTTGATCTGAGTTGAGTGTAAGATGGTGTGTTTTGAGTTGGGGATGGAAGAGGGCTTTTATAGCCGGAGAATTGTGGCAGGCAGCCAGAGGGCGGCCGCCCTACGGCCATGGTCGACAGCCTTCGGTCACTTCCCCAACAAAGCTACGTGTACTCGTCAAATCCGCCGCAGGCGCCCATGAAAGGCGGCCGCCCTTTTAGCCGCCTCCCGTCTTGTCTCAGCGACCGGAAGCTCAAAAATCACATCCCGTCGCAGGTGGCCACGGAGGGAGGCCGCCCTCCGTCCCACATCGGCAAGCTTCCATTATTTTGTCGCCATTCAAAGTGTTGTGTGTTGGAACCGTCAAAAACTCGTAGGTTCTCAGAAAGGAGGCCGTCTTATCGACCGCCTCACGTCAAATGGAAAAGTTGTCTTCACCAAAGTTGTAGATCTATTTCTTGGCCAACTACCGGAATTTGAATTACATGCACTGGATTTGTATTTTATGAGATATGACGAAAACGGTGAGCACTCGTCACTTTCCATCGCAGCTGCAAATGTCTGACCTCTTTGAGCAATATGTCTATTCTACGATTGTTATTTGGTTATGTGTTCTTCATAAGAGTTGTAGATCAAGAGGATTTCTTTCTTGTCTAACTACTGGAATTTGAATTACATGCACTGGATTTGTAGTTTATGAGATACCAAAACGGTGAGCACGTGTCACTTTCCATCGCAACTGCAAATGTCTGACTTCTTTGAGCAATATGTCCATTCTATGATTGTTATTTGGTTATGTGTTCTTCATAAGAGTTGTAGATCAAGAAGATGTCAATATAATGCAACTGGTATCACAAACTTTGGGCAATCATGGGCCAAGTTATGATCAAAATACGAACATGTATCTTTATGCATCATCCATTTTCATCAAAATTGGTCATATAGGCGACCCCTTCTTGGTTTTTGAGCTTCCTGGCATGATTTCTTCCTCTCTTGGACTCTTCTCATTGAACAATTTGTCAATATATCTTGCAAACCTCCGTAACATTTAATTTGTTGGCAAAAATGCCACTTTCTTCACGCAATTGACCCGAAATTTCGCCAAACATGTTATGAATGTGATTTTTACCTCATTTTCATGAAACTTGAACCGAAATATACAAAACATGCCTTGTTTTTATATTTTCAATCCAAAAATCGCTTAAATTTGATAAGAAAAGTAAGTACAAAAATGGACTTATCAATCTCCTCACACTAAGCGTTGCTTGTCCTCAAGCGACAAATCGGTTGCAGACACACTCAAAAAGTTAAAATCTGACCGTATTACAATCAAGTTGCTATTAAAGAAATAGAAACAAAAACCTCTTCTTTTATTTTCAATTTTTAAACATTTTAGAAAAAATCACCCAAAATACAAGAATTTAAAATTATTATCACTTAAAAAAAACTATTGATTATGTTAAACCACCAATCAATTCCTTATCACAAGGTTTTCATTATTCTAATTTGGACATTCATTTTGTTCATTAATTTTTTTTTGCCTCTTTTTTTTCCACTTTTGTTGACGATGTTTTTCCATGGTAAATGCATACTTCATGGTGGTGGCGGTAATTGGGTGGTGTCGACGGCGGTGGCACTGTGATCTGCGGCGGTGTCATTGTGGTGGTGTAACTGTGACAGTGTCACTGTGGCCGACGACGACGACAATGACACGAGGGATGGCGGCAGCTGTGACATGGACGATAACCGCAACGACATCCGACAATGACATGAAAATGGAGCAATGACATAGATATTGGCTGTCACTTTATTTTAGTTACATTTTTGTCCAAATATAAAAGTGGTCACATTTTTTGAAATCAACCTTAATTTAGTAATATTGAGGGAATAAGCCCTATGTTTTTTATGTTGTTGAATGGATGGTCTTTGGAATATTAATATAAGTTTTCTTTTGCAAAAAAAGAAAAAAAACTCCTTTCCGATGTACGTAGTATATTTTAGAGATATTACCCGAAATATGACTAAAACAGTTTGAAAATTCCAAAATAGGACTGTCATGTTTTTATTTTCCAAAATAGGACTAATTACTGCCATGTTTTGGTAGTACCAGACTTCAAACATGGTATTATTTTCTAAACATGACAGTAATTAGTCTTATTTTGGGAATAAAAAACATGACAGTCCTATTTTGGAATTTTCAAACTGTTTTAGTCTTATTTCGGGAATTTTCCCTATATTTTATCTATGTATTTTATTTAAGGGAAAGTTCCCGAAATAGGACTAAAAAGGTTTCAAAATTTCAAAATAGGACTGTAATGTTTTTTGTTCCCAAAATAGGACTAATTATTGCCATGTTTAGAAAATACTGCCATGTTTGAAGTCTGTACTGCCAAAACATGACAGTAATTAGTCCTATTTTGGAAATAAAAACATGACAGTCTTATTTTGAAATTTTCAAACTGTTTTAGTCATATTTCGGGTAATATCTCTTTATTTAATACGGAGTAGAAAAATAGCAAAACAATTGCAGCCCTGAATTAATTTTTTCTCCAGCCCAACTTTCAGAAATAGCAAAGGCTGAGTAATTGAGTAATACGGACTAAGAAGACGGAGCCTTCAGGCCTTTTGCCGAACAAAGGCCGATCGACGAACGCCAATTCCCTGCTCTCAAGTGCCAGCTGCTAAATTGCCACTCGCCGACTGCCCGGCCTCCGACGCTTGGACGCCTGCCGCCCTGCCCCTTATCGTCTTTTCAGTCCAGCAGTCCTCGCTCCTCTGCCTTCTGGAGACGAGACCGTATTCTGGTGCGGCCGTGCCAGTGGTGTGCTTCCGCCTTCCGGTCTACTACATACTGCACTTCACCCATTCAGCGATTCGGCCCTTTCCCTTTTCACCTTCACGATTCAGGTATTCCTCGGTCTCCTCCGAGTCTCCGACCTCCTTAACCCTTGTATTCTTTTATTGATTAGTTCATGATTCATGAATCCATAGTTGCTTAATTTTTATAAATGAATAGTTGGAAAATAATTAGTTGATTTGTTGGATGTTGACGGTTGAGTTTTATTAAACGATTAGTTCATATTCATAATTGTTGATTTTCATGTGTTAAGACGTTCAGTTAGGTGATTAGTGCATAGTTTTTTTGAAAGCTACTACGTATTAGTTTATAGTAGTTGAGTTGTTGAATTTTAGTAATTTTTCATTTATAATTTGTCCGGTAAGATTTTCATTTATACTTAAATTTATAAATTTAATTAATTTTAAGTGTAAGAAAATGGTTGAATTTGGATGTGAGAAGGATAAAAAGACTAGACAAAGCAGCACTAACTCACTAAGTAAAAAAGGTTGAATGGAAATTTTGTTTGTGTGAAGAAGTGAAATTCCAATTATCCTCCTCACGATGAGAACTCGAAGGAGAAGAATGATTTAGTTATCCAAAATGAAACGGTTCAGAATGATCATGTTAGTTTAGGAGGAAAATACTTTTACAATTTTTTTAAATATTAAGCCCAATAGGCCAATATAAATTATCCGCCCCTAGGCCTTGAAAAAGTCAAGACTGATCCTGTTGCTAATTCCTTATTTTACATCTGATAATATTACTACGTAATATATTACTGTACTCCGTAATAATTTACGGAGTATTTTTTAATATTAGTGAAATACCGAAATACGAAGTACCATCTTATGTAATCAGTTTATTCTTCTATTTGTTCTGTGTTGTGAGAAACTATACATACATTTAATGATTTAAATACAATTTCACTTCTTGATATTTATACTCCTTTTTCTCATTCCTTATTTTACATATGGTAGTATTGACGTATTAATAATTTCTTATTATGTTTATCGTTGTAATATACAATGTTTATTTGAATATTACCTCCATTTTTTTTATTAATTGTCACCTTGGGTTTTTCATGAAGATGAAGAAAGTAGTAGAGGTTAATTATTTAAGTAGAAAAAGTATTAAAAAAATGGAGAAAAAGCGGAAAAAGTAGAAAATAGGAGAAGAAAAAGTCGGAAAAAGGAAAAAGAAGAACAAGTATAAGAAGTTGAAAATAGGAAGAGAAAAATAGGGTGAAAGTTTCAAATATAGGAATTTATGGAAGGTTGATAAATGATATGAACTTTTCAAAAAGGAACAAATGGAAAGTAAAAAAAGAAGATACAGTGCATTGACTTTGCAGTTTGCACCATAGAATGCTTGACTAGATGTAGCATTTGTACAGTACACTCAGATTATAGAATCTTTATTGATAATAAACATTCTTATGAGCTATAACTCTTCGTTCTCATGTTCCTTTCAACCATCCACTTCAATACAAGATACACATGAAGCATGCAAACATGCTCAAGAGCACATTGACGTGATAAATAATCACTATTCTTTCAACATTTTAGATGAGTAAAAATTGACCATTTATCATGCCAATATGCTTTATAATGCGCATGTGGGTCTGCTCAAGAAGTGTACTCTACTTCAATAAAGTTGGGGTACATTAATTTGATAAGTTTAGAGACGCTTATTAACATCTGTTTAATATATCAAATTCTTTAGTTCTGCTAAAAAAAATTATTAACATCTAATAAATAAATGTTATATATAAGTATATATAAAAAATATGCAAAAAAATATCTTTAGCCACACTCAAATAGTAAAGAAGGAACTTTAAATGGGTCATTTGGATTTCAGTCGAGGTCCTTCACTCACGTTGGAGTGTTGGACCGATATTGGCTGTAGTCCCATACAGATCTGAGTAATGCGAGCTAAGCACATCGGTGTGGAGTGGAGTTCTCATCTTTCGTCTCGAACCTTCTGCATTACAAAAAGTGTTTGCAACCAGTGCAGTGGTTCGTCCATTGAACTATGAACGGGTGCTTTCTCAGTTTCAGGTTTGGAAACATCTGCACACTTTCCACCATTTGTTTCACTGCTTGGATCAACGTCAACGCGCAAATGCTTCAGCGATTCACTGTTTTGACTTTCACTCCCTGGACTCAAACCGCTCTCACCGGTATTTTCCTCCGTTTTATCTTTTGTCTTTAACAATCTCCCCCTTCTCTGTTTCGATAAAAATTCACTTGCCTTTTTTGAGCCATTGTAGGATTTTATTAATTTATCTTCTTTGATATTCACTTTTGTTGATTTTATTTAGTTTCTGTTTTCTTTCTTAGGTTCTTGCTCTGACAAAGTAGAAATTCTCAAACCGCAGGTACTCGTTTTTCTTTTACTTTATGAATTAGTTAATCTGTATGCTGCATATCAATTACTACCTCCGTCCCCCTGTTATTGTCCCATTGCGGTTTACGATGCTTGACTGACGATAAATCAAACAGATTCCTATCCGCACTAGAATTATTTTTAGAAAAAAAATCGCATATTCAGAAACTACATTAAAAGTTTTACAAAGTCGCAAAAACCAGAATCAAATTTGATAAAAATTTGATAAATAAAGTAAGAGATTAAGAGTGGTTTGTGTTGACCAAGTGAATAGGAAATGGGACAATAACAGGGGGGACGGAGGGAGTAACAAATAACGCTTGTATTATATTTTTATTTAGTTATTTTGGGTAAGATTTACTGATATTGATCCTATTGCTATGCTGTAATATCACAGATGTCTCTACTTGAGTCTTTTCTTATGCTTTTACGCTGCATAAACTTCATAGTTTATGTCTAATTTTTTTTTCCTTTTTTTATGTGCAGTTTGGCTCTATATATCACACTGCTATTAAGTCAAGAAGAAATGGGATTTTCATTTGTCTTGATAGGACAACCCCTCAAGATGGAAGGCCAAAGATACTTGGAGTTCCCCAGAATGTGGATTTCCCCCCGATTCAGCCAAGGAATAAGAAGAAGCCATATCCCATACCTCTGAAGAAAATCAAGGAGGCTGCGAAGGCTGATAAGAAACTTGCAGAGTTGGGAATTGAGAAGCCACTTCATCCGCCCAAAAATGGGCTGCTCGTGGACAATTTAGTTCCAGTTGCTCATGAAGTTCTAGAAGCTTGGAAGATTTTGATCAAAGGAGTGGCTCAACTCCTTCATGTAGTCCCTGTCCATGCTTGTAGGTACGGTGTGTGTGAGGTTGTCATGGCCTTCTTTGGCTTGAGTGCTCTACAATGAATATATATGGTATATATTATTTTGCAACCAAAACTCCTATCTAGCCGCGATTGATCCATCCTAGGCATTAGCTATCATTTTGTTTGCTTAGTTTTTTTTCCAGATAGGTGAACCCTGCCTAACCTTGTACTATAAGGACCTATTTACTTGGACTGGAGTTTACTAGTCTGGCTTAAGTCTGAATTGGTTTGGTGGGGTGTTTAGCTAAGTCCATCCGTCTAACCAAAAAATCCTTTCATCTTGTAGCTTTTTAATCTTCCCATTCATTCCCTGTGCGCTTTTCTTCCCCCAAATCTTTCCATTCTAGTAATGAATTTTCTGCAATCATTCGTAAATCTAGATCGGCTAATTGTTCCCAGACAGCACAGGTCCCCATAGAAATTTCTAGTTTTCGAAATGTATTGAAACCTTTAGTAGTGAAGAAAAGTGGAATCTTGTATGATCTAGAACTGAAATAAGTCCAAGTGAATAACTATCATTGGGGTTTTAAGTCTGAATTGATTTGGTTTGGTCTAGGACTGAAATATTCCTACTTTCCAAGTGAATAGGTCCTAATTTCTAGCATCCCATTACATATAGGCAGATTTGGTGAGATTGTTGAAGATATGCTTGATATGGATGAAGTCTTATGTGTTGCTGAATTCTGAATAAAGTAAAAATACTTCAGTGAAAAAATAAATAAAGATGTAATGATCAGTTTCAACAACTTAAAAGGTATCGCAACTCTTATTTTCATCGAGTTTGACTACTCCTGCTAGAACAGTTAAATAACTTAGGGTCTGGGGTTAGTAAAGTTATGAAAGTCATGTTCGGGGGGGGGGGGGGGGGGGGGGTTATAAGTTTGAGATTGTATTAAAAGGAATAAAAACAGTGTGTGAATGTGTAATAATATAATATTTGAGTCAGCCTTTATTAGTTTTTTGCAACATTCTATTTATTAAGATATAGATTTAAGTCCTAAATATTTCTCCTACAAAACTCACCAATCAAGCATAGTCTAGTGTTTGGCAAAAACTATAAGCTGAAAAAGTTGCTGTCAAGTTGCTTCTGAGTGTAAGGTCTCAGTCTAGCGCTTTTAACAACATTGCTGAAACTCAATATCTATATGTGCTCATGCAGTGAATGCTCAGGAGTTCACATTGCTGAAAGAGGCCATGAGATTCAAGATTGTCAGGGCTCAACCAGTTCCAATCGGCGAGGCTTCCATTCATGGGTGAAAGGTTCCATTAATGACATTCTTATTCCTATTGAATCATACCATATGTATGATCCTTATGGAAAGCGCATTAAGCACGACACTCGGTTTAACTTCGACAGAATCCCAGCGATCGTTGAGCTTTGCATCCAAGCAGGTGTTAATTTACCAGATTACCCTTCACGCCGCAGGACTACTCCCATCCGCATGATTGGTAGGAAATTAATTGACGTAGGCGGATATGTCGATGAGCCTGGACTTCGTGATATGAGCTTGCCGGTTGTGGACTTTGACACTCATCGAGCTTCCGAAAGGTTTGGGCCTCCCAGTGAATCTGATGCCCTGATGATTGCACATGAGACCATCGAAGCGTACGAGAAGGTCAAACGAGGGGTGATGAAGTTGATGAGGAAGTATACTGTGAAAGCGTGCGGATATTGCTCCGAAGTCCATGTCGGCCCTTGGGGTCACAATGTGAAGCTATGTGGTGCCTTCAAGCACCAATGGAGGGATGGGAAACACGGATGGCAAGATGCGAGAATGGATGAGGTTTTCCCGCCAAATCACTTGTGGCACGTAAGGGAGCCGAAAGGACGTCCAATGAGGAGCGCATTGAGGAGGTTCTACGGGAAAGCACCCGCTGTGGTTGAGCTCTGCATGCAGGCTGGTGCGGAAGTTCCTCAGCTGTACAAGCCGATTATGAGACTTGATGTCGTCTTACCGGATAGTGAGGAAGCAGATCTAGTTGCCTGAAATTCTCACGCTAAAAAGTACTACGTATATAATACCTTGTGTAATATGTCAAGTAAAGAGGTTATATGCCTCTTTTTTTTTTTTTTTTACATTTTGGCCTTTGAACTCGCCAGCAATGGATACACAAGTTGTCCATATATGCCCACAATGTTTTTTTGAGCAATATTATACACATAAGTCTCAAAAAGAAATACAAGTAGTTTTCTTTCCCGGTACATTCATAACCCTTGCAAATATGGAACCCCTTTTGCTACGTTTAACAAAATAACAAAGATTTACTCGATGTGAATGTAGTTTACATATGCTACAATTCCTACAAAGCAGGAGGTCTTCATATTATCACAGCCTCACAGCGCAAAACTTTTTATTAAAAACAAATTACATGGCAGAAGTTTGCAAGTAAAAATGTTGGGAACAGAATAAAAGAATTGAAGTCTGCTGGGTATAAGGATATCTAGTGTAATCTAATCTAAAATGGAGTGGAGATCGATGCTTTCTGGGAAAAGAGTTGAAGAGAACGCAACTTGCCAAACCTCTTTACTTCAAGGTTGCCTCAGTCAAGCTGGCTGCTGAATGACCAACACAAGTACACAGGCACACAACTTTTAGCTTTCACAAAACAAACTTGTATCAGGAACTTGTCCTCACTTATCCTTCTGACAAACAATGTTTGTCTTAACCTCAGCTAGACGTTTCTCATTACCCGATTCAACCATTAAAATGTAGTCGCCATTTTAATCGATTTTCTTAAAACCTAACCATGATGAGTGAGTTCAGCCTGCCCTGATGGAATAAAAAACTAATTTTCATCTTTTTTTACAGTAACACCAAAATTAAGGGAGCATTTGCTCATACCCTTGGTCGCGAGGTGAAATTTGATTTTTTCCAAAATTGAATTGCAACCATCCAATCATGACTGATGATAAGGAGACAAACCATCCTTAACTATCCTTTGTTTGCTCAAACAAGCTAGATCAGCAACTAGCTCATTCACCAAAGAAGTTAAGACATATCTTTCCAACTCCACAGCTAACCCCCCATTCTCCTCATCCATTATCCTCTTCAACTTCCATTCATTCTCCATATCCTCAATGTACCGCTTCCTATTCTTTTCCACTTCCCATTCATGCAAAAATCTATGAGATTCCCCATTAATCCAATCCTCCGCTTCCTTCATTAGCTGTGAAACCGGCAATCCGTCTTCAATGATTCCATCCCGGAAAAAATCGAGTAGTAAGAATCTTTCAGTCGCATTAAGCTTGAGGCTACATGATGATAGCCTTCTGTTGTGGTTCAACTGTTGAAGTAATAATGCCGCTTTTAGTTCTACTTGACTATGATTTTCGCAGCCTGTATCCCTAAAGTTGTATGGTGTGAATGATAAGGAATTGTGTAGAGGTGATTCGGCTTTTAGTGGCACCTCAATTTGAGTGAGGCTCTCAAACCTTTTGATCTTCTTCATCAGCTTCCTCAAGGTTTCTACAAGATAAGTAACCTTTTTACATACTATAACAATACTATGACTATTTGGAACAGTTTCTAAATCCCTAGTAACTACAAAAATATGATTATCTTTAAATATCTAAAAATGACTAAGTTGTAAACTAAGGAGTACGTATTTGATTTAAATATTATTCTCTTTTTCTCCCATAGTTTTCTTTCTATTTTCCTTTTGAAATGTTCCAAAATTTTCTTCAAATATCTTTTTCAGAAAATACATATTTTCTCTTTCGGTTTCTAACTCAACAACAATCATGCAATTTAACATTTTTACTCAACCAGGTAACACTCTGAACCCATCTATTCGTCATCATTGGTCCCACTTTTTTCGTTCTTCCTTACTTGGGTAAATAAGGAATATTTTCTTAACTTTATCCATGCCGGTATTGTTCTAGTTATTACTCGACCCGTCTCACAAAATTTGATTTGGACGTGAAATAATAAAGTGGTTCAAATTTGTACAGAAGGGATATATTTTGTGGGGTAGAGGGAATAATTAACCTTACTTTTAATCTTTTATTGGCAATATTAATAACAACGCAATTACCTGGGCCGATATTAAGTTTATCTTGGAAAGAGACATCGTCTTCGTCTTGAAAAGGACAATCCAGTGTAGAGATCGGACTTGACTGTTCCTTTTCCACGTTACAAGTTGTTATTGACCAGAGCTGTTTTTGTAACCATTAACAATTGTTAAAACTTTAGAATATACAGTACGTAAATAATGATATGCCAAATTCAACAAATTTGTTAAGTTAATACATACTGACATAGTGACGTGCATTCGGAGTTCTGTATTATTAATGCCAGTTTGAGCCATTGAGAAGGTTAAATTTAATAATTAATTGGGTTCTTCTACGGTGCCTCTGAAAATAAACAAGGTACGGGTGCCTTAACATTTTGACCAATCACATTACACTGAGAGGCCACGTAAGCATCGTACTCATTTTACTCAACTAAATTTTACTATTTGCATTTTAACCATAACAAAGAAGTGAAATATCTAAAGTTCGTTAACTCAGGAATACTCCGTAACACCTCTGCTATTTCTGTGACGAAACAGTTGCCGGCTTGCCGCAGAAACCGCAGAGAGAGGAAAAAGAAGATAACTAGCCTCACCGAAGGAAAATCCTGCGGCACCCAAGGACGAACCTGCCAGTCTGCCACACTGAAGGAATAACCTGCCGCAGTTACACTTCGGCGAGAAGGCAAAGATGCAAGAAAAATACTCGAAATCCCTTTTTCTTTAATGATGTTATGTTTTTATATTCGTATTCCCGTTGCAATGGAGGGTGCTTTTGTATGACGAATGGCCCGTAGGGAGCACCTAATTTGAGTTTATACAATAAGAGACATTCTCCTATTTCAATTTGGATATTAAGGTTTGCAGAAAGTCCGTCACCACAGATTTCATGGGATTGCCGGAGAGAGTTGAGGCCATTGTTCAATTAAAGCTTCAAGGAAATATGAGGAAGGTAATCTCAGAAGAAAATCCCACTAGATATGTCTCGTCCTACGTGCATAGCCGGCAATTTTAGTTCTATCTTGATGTGCCTACCAGCAGATATTAACTTGCTATATTTCAAAGGATTAAAATGCAAAGATGTACAATTTTGATACTATGATGATTAGGATGTCGAGTTGCCAACATGTCACCATTTGATTGGACTAAAATGAAATGCACCATTACCTTTGATTTGTAATGATGCACCATAGAATTTTCCTGATTACAATCTCATTTTTTGGAGGAAGTTACAAACTCACAATCTCAATTAATTTCGTCAAAATAGATTTGAAGCTCCGCTCGTTTCAATTTGTTAGTAGTTTTATAAAGGAAATCTATAAAAGAAATAGGGGAGAACTATCAAATAAGCCTTCGAACTTTCATAAAAAGTGCAAATAAGCCCTTTTACAGGAGGCTTTGTCCGGCTATCGCCATTTGGGTTTGATGAAATTTTTTGAACATCTTCTTCATTAAGTTTAGTTTACCCATACCAAATTTCAGCTAAAAAATCAATCGATAAGGCAGTCAAATGATTTTCTGAAATATATTACGCTGTCTAACTGCGCGGTTATCTTCAAAAATTCATTTGACTGCCTTCCCGATTGCATTTTTAGCTGAAATGTGGTATTAATAAACTAGACTTAATGAACAATATACACAAAAAATTTCATCAAAAAATTTCACTGGAAACCGTCCCAAATGGCGATGGCCGGACGGAGCCTCCTATAAAAGGGCTTATTTGCACTTTTTATGAAAATTTGAGGGCTTATTTGATAGTTCTTGGAATGAATAAAAGTTGAGCTAGATACATAACCCATTTTTCAAATATGACCATTTTTATTTTTTCTTGGAAAAGAACTTAATCAATCCTAAAAAGGAATAAACTCTTTTAATGGGAGATCATAAAAAAACACTACGTAGTATTTTAATTGGAGTGTATAAATCATGTTTTTTTGGAATAAACAGCACTTCCTTGTTCCATTTCAAGCATTCACATGGTCAACTCTACTCTATTCCATCTCATACATTATTGGCACAATCAATTTAATTAATTACTCTATTTTAATCTTTAATCAACTTTATATAATAACTTCCCGAAGTATAATTTTTATTTTTTGCAATTTTGTAGAGCTCCTAACGTTTGAGTACATAATTTTAATTATTAGAAATAATTATACTTTATCCGCGAGGAATTTACTTTATCATTACACTTTCATTATATTATATTGTACATTAAACTTTATCAAGACATGTAGAATGTAGACATGTTACATGTAGTGTACATATAGTCTTGATACGTGATTGAAGGAGCTAGTACTATATATTGATATATAAATGCATTGGATTTTTGTGCCACGGAGTATAACTTTTGGTAATCTCTATGATCTGTTTGCTTTGTCAAATAAAGAGCTGAATAAAGACATGCCACAATAAAGGTAAAATAAAATTCTAAAACTTTTATCACATCCATAATTTATTTTTCTCAAGGATGCGTATTTATTTGACGAAAATATAGAAAGTTAGCTCTATTGATTCCGTACATGGACACTGCGAAAGTGTTAGATTTGAAAAATCCAATCCCCCTTTATATGTCGTCCAAAACATTGATTCAATAATCCAAATTCTTAAACTTTATAGAACTACAACACTCAAAATTTAAAAGCCGCGTGATTAGATATTTAGATCTATCATAAGTGGATGTGGTTCCTTCACAAAGCGTGTTTTATCTTTCATTAGCCACGCAATCAAAGCAATTACACAGTTAAAATACTGCTAGGAAAGGACTTAAGGACGGAGATGGAAGGATCGGAAAAGGATTGAAGCAAATGATATACTGCGTATTTTGTAAGAGCACATTTTAAAAAGATGGTTTTCAAGTTTCAACTACCTTTGTGATTCACATGATCGAAGGATATAGCGAGTCATTTTTAGTTGGAGGACGTATTTGTATTATTAATTTTAGTTCCCTTAGTCCTTCAAAAATACAGTCAACATAGTAGTTTGTAGCAATCAGGGCACATGATAGCGTAGCATTATTAAGAGTGATGAGCACATAATCACTTTTTATACAACAAGTGTATCAGGAAAAAATGTCACAATTTCATGTTTCCCACGAATCTTAATTAGTTC